CTTTTTATGCGTGTGGATAACTAGTTAATATTTAATTTCTTAAAAAGTGGCCATGTTTTGTACAATTAAAAATTAGTCGGTAAAAGAAATTGAATGAAAATTCATATGAAAATCTTCAATTTTCTCGAAACAAAAGAAAGTGGACTAACACCACTTTAAAAATATACGGTCCATATATATATAATTCGATTGTTACATGCAAATAGGGATTTCTAAATAAAACTAGAATACATATGAGCATATTAAAAAAAAAAAAAAGAAAAAAATAAATCTCACTAGATTTATTTTGGTTATTATCAAATTTGCATCAGATTCGATATTCACGAGAGAAAATAATATTTAAAAAAATACGTACGGTCATGCGAACTTTTGCAAAAGGATCAAAAGGAAAAATGATGGAAAATGTGTATGTATATATATATATATTTATGAAGGGTTGGGTTTGCTTAAAAATAAATAAGAAGCTTTGCACAACATATTGAAAAATCATCATCCTCATTCTTTATACCTCCGAACGCAATTCGTTTATTGATTTTGGTTCTGACGTCCGTGCCGTTATTAAATTCCTCATCACTCTAAACGAAAGAATGAAGAAGAAACGAGAAAACGAAAAGGTTGAAAAGGGATGAAAGAAAGAGAAAAAGAAAAAGAGAGAGAGAGAGAGAGGTTAGATTAAGTTTAGTTAGTTAGGTTAGCTTGGGACAAAAGGTGAACATATTTTTGAAAAATTGTCTACGTTTAACAAACAACTCACTGATTGATATTAATTAGTGGATTTATTTAATTGGGCCTAGCTCAACGTGTTATGCCCTGTGGTAATTTGGGTGTCAATGATACAACTTGGAATTTAATGGATAATGAAAACAACCATTGTGTTATTGGTTCTGGTTTGTAAAAGAGGCCAAACTGTGCCACGGTCGTGCGCACAATCCATCGAAACAGGGGCTTCATCGTTGGACGCATTTTTAACCCTCCCTTATAACGTTTGTTAATCTCGTTAGCGAAACGAATCGTAATATAACTGGTAATAGAAAACAAAAAGAAAAAGCTCAGTAATGCAGTAATTTCGTAATTCAAATGTTTCCCCTTTCAACCATAACATCAGTGTCATGTTCATGTATAAATCAAATAAGCTGATAATAAATGTCATGTTATTTTGTGTAATTTCAAATGTGTGTCCTATTTAATCTCTCATCATGTCCCCTAATGTATTTATTAATGTTCTTTGTGACTAGTTTAAACATCGTTATCAAAAATTATTGATAACGTTGGTGGTGGTAGTTCTTTGATTTGTTTCTGTATTCGTGATAATTATTCTTTAAAAAATAGTTGAATATTGTAAAAAACTTCACTAGCGTATCCTCCACCTACTGTTATAAAGCCCAAGCTAGGAAAACTGTAACGGTAATTAATTATGTTGCCAACCGGATGCATAATTACGGATTTTGTTAATAACGGCCAGTTAATTGACGATCTAATTGCTAATAAGCAGGATACAACTCTATTATATTATATATATATATATATATATATATATATATATAAATATAGATGTATATATGTAACGGATAATCGCAAATAATTAGTAACGAAGTTAACGAGTGAACTATCGGTTAGTAACTTGCCAGTAACTAAACAGAAATATCCGTAATGAGCGTTGATTATGCAAGTACAATTATCGTATTCTATTGTAATAGTACTCTTTAACTCTTCTATATTGCTATAAATTACAAACTATTATCATCGATTAATAATCTTGATTACAATTAATAATTATTAAATGCTAACGATTAAAAACAATAACAACAAACAAAGGTACCTAACACAGTAACGTAAATACTTAAACTGTTAATTCAGTTACAACCGGAAAATTATTATAACTGAAAATGAACAACGGTAAAAAATTGATTAACAAAAAAAAAGAAACAATTACGATGAAAATATCCTTGATAAAACTTAAGAAATTATTCAAATACTTTTTATTCCTCAGTTCCCATAACCTATTGGAAAAAGGAATAATCGATAATGGTACTTTCCACAGTTACCTACTACTAGTCCCGTAATTGACACCACATCAGTCCATTTGACGAGTCATTACCTTTCTAGAAATTCCATTAGCACCAAACAAGATTGAGTTATATTAGTTGATTATCGTCAATTATCAAAGATTCATGAGTTTTCAATTGAATGTTTGAGTTGTTGTGAATAGTGGGAATGTTGGGAAGAAAATGAGACAAAGTAGTTGTTGTGTAGTAGTTGACCGGCTAACCTCTAGACTCTAGAGTATGTTAGTTAGGGTGCGAACTAAGAATACAGACAGCACCATCTTCTCGGTCACGCGAGTAAAACATTCGCCGCTCATTACGGATTCCTCCTTGCAACTCTAATATGTCTTTTTTCTTCTTCAGTTGTTTTTTTGTCTTCATTTTGTAACCCGTTAGATACAACGTAACGCTTACGTCTAAGTTAACCGTAACTTTCGTCTAGAGTTCATTTTCTTCGTCTATTCTACGAATGATTAAAACACAACTAACTTGATGTATTTCTTTTTCCTATCCCCTATGATTTTTCTTTTCAAAATAAACGTAACTAACGCAATACTTGTTCTGTTACTTTGAGATTCTGAATCGTGAGAATTTGAATCGTAACCGGATGTAGTAAACCCCGACTGGGTTCGAAGGTTTTACCAGGAGAGAGAGAAAGAGAGAGAGAGAGAGAGAGTTCAAGTTCAAAGTTCAAGTTCATCTTGATCCAACTCACGGTTCTTCTCAACGTAACGTGATTCCTCATTCTTTACTCTCGTTCTTTTTATTGCTTGCTTGCTTGCTTGCTTGCTTGCTGACTTGATGTTTAATTTATGAACGATGATGCCTATTGTATCTTATTAAAACTAAAGATATAATAATGTATGAACTTGCCGAGAAAAATAACAGAACGGATGCAGTAACAAAACACTGTACTTATTATACATTATTTTCATATTTTTTGTTTCAAAAAAGACACAAATAAATAAATCATTGGTCAATCCAAAAAAAAAAATACAACTCGTCTCAAAAAAAACAACTGTGTTGAGCACATTATAATCCTAAATGTAATTTCCTATTTCCAATGAATTACCTAAAAATAGATAAACTCACGAATAACTTGAAGTATTTTTGAGATTTGATCAATTAACAAAATTAACCTAAAATAATTTCAACGATATATGATCAGAAAACAATCCAAAGTGTAAATCAAAGTTAAATTATTATAAATTAGTGTATATTAATGATAGGAGTTAACCTCTTAGGCACTATGCGCCATTATATTGGCTTTCGCGGATGCCATCTAGCAGTAAAACGCGTTACTATAGTGTTTTTCGCGCCATCTTCCAGTACGACGCGCCACCATAGTGGCTTTCACGGATAATATCTTTTAAAATATATGTTATACTTAGTTTTATTATTAATTATTAAAGTTAATTGTTCAAATTAAAGTAAGTGCAATATATTTTAATGAACAAATATAATTTAATTATAAAACACTTCATTTTAATATACTTCATGCAATTTCTGTTACAAAGAAACAGCTCTGTGCAATATTCAGCAGTGCCTAAGAGGTTAACAAAACTCTGCCTACTTAATATTTAGATACTTAGATAATAACCTAACTAGTCCCAAGCCCAAATTATAGAAAAAGGGTTCGAGAGCGAATCTAGCAACCTCCTTAAAAAAAAGTAATCCCTACCAGAACTAACAAAAAAAAAACCTTTTAGGCTGCAAAGGTTAGAAATAACTGGACGAAATCCTAATAATAATAATAATTATAAAAAGTAGAGTTAACAAACAAACAAAATAATAATCAAATTGGAAAAAAGATTATATTCCAAAAAGAATATGAAGATACTAAGATTTTACGTTTAACATAAGAATGTTTCTCTCGATTGGTTGTTTGCGTTCGAGGAAAATACACGGTGTGAAAGAGACAGCACGTGGTAGTAGTAGTGGAATACTCCTCGCGGATCGTCGAGCCTAACGGTTGTCCGGTAACCACGTCAGAGCCGGTGCTAGCGGTACTCGCGGTCGTTCCGTTACTCGACCGACAGATCCGCTAACGCGACTCAACCAACTTCTCTATCTATCTCTCTTTCTCTTTCTCTCTTTCCTACGTAGGTAGGTATATATATATACGTCGACCCTTCTTCTACCTCCTCCCCCTCCGTCACCCTCCTACCTGGCTCCCTACATCCGTGTCTCCTATCCCTCTTTCTCTTTTTCTCTCTCAACAACACACTCTCTTTCGTAGGCGTGCGCGCGAACGCAAGTAAACGCAATCTTTCTCTATATCTCTCTCTCTCTCTCTTTCTCTCGGTTTTATTCTATGGGGATGGATGGATTGCTGGATCCGCTTCGTCTACGGTGCGAAATTTACGACTACTCGAACCTATCTCTCCTTTTTCTTTCTCCTCCATCTTTTCTCACTACAACTTTGTCCTTATTTTCTTTCTAATACACGTTTTACTATGAAACTACTCTTTTCCTAGATTCTTCTATACGTTTAGGATAAGACAAAAAAAGAAGTAGTTAATGTATCTTTTCTATTTGTCGTTTGTTTGTTTGGTTAGTTTGCTAACTTTGATGCAACAATACAAAATGTATATTCAACAAGAGGGCTTCTGTTTATTGGAAATTTTTATATATGTGTTTGTATGAAAGGCCTTTGCCAGTTCCACCGTTTTACTCAGAGACTATTATCCTGTACACTAGCATGATGAATATACTAGGAATGTATTCATGTATGAGTATAGAATTCTTGAGGGTACCCAATAATTTAGGACGTAGGTTTATGGAAATGAATATACAGGTGGGGGAAGAATCCCCACTCAAGAAATTTAACTGGGAGATACAAAAATAATGAACTAAGTTTGTATAACGTGTGTGAGATCATTTGTAAATGCAATAAAATATCGTGCACGTTAAAAAACTATAAAGGAAAAACAACAACACGGTTATATCCTGTACCTGTTCCCGTGATCGGTGGTGAGGCTAACTGCGAACTGCTTATATCCGGTGGTTGCTGGGTTTGCTGGGTTTGCTGTTGTTGTTGTTGTTGTTGCTGCTGTTGCTGCGGACTATTGGCAGCTACCTGCACGCTACCTGGACTAGCCGCACTCTCTGCCATGTTTCTTATTTATTTGTTTCTTCTTTTATTTATAATTTTTGTCTACTTGTTTTGCTTTGACTTGTTTGTTTCTTCTTCTGTTTCTCAGTTTAATAGAAATGAAATATTTCTGAATACTTTTAATTGTTGTTTCTGTGAAAATTTTATCGTTACTTGTCGTGATATCAAAAACAAAAAACAAACAAACACTCCGATCGGTCTTGACTACGACGATTTTAAAGCGGCACGATGGTTTTCACGGTCGACCTAGCGCTCTAGTCCGTGAATACTTAAAGTTTTTCGCGACGACAGTTTCCCCTTAATGTCTCGATGTCAGTCTGACACGTTCCGTAACCCTTTTGGCTCTTGGATTTTCTATCACTTGGGGTTAGGTATTTAAAGTCGTGTCTATTGCTCTTCTTCTTTTTCTTCTTCTTCTTCTTGATGTTGTTGTTGCTGCTGTTATTTATGTTGTTGTTGTTGCGAAATCAGACTTTTTCTCATATGTTTCTTCGTAAACGACGACGACATGTATATAAGTATGTAATATATGTATGTGTATATGTGTGTGTGCATGCGTGTTGTTTAATAATTTAACGAACAAACGATCGATAGAAAGGAGGCAGCACACGATGGTAACTCGACATGCTCGACCGACCTATCGTTGAACGCAACGACGATAAGGAGGAGTCGTCGATCTCGCGAAGGATAATAACAACAACGACGACGATGATGATGACGATGACGATGATGATGACGATGACAACAACGTCAGTTGTTCAATGAAATAAACGAGATCATTCTCGTTGCTAATTCTCGGCGCCATGCCAACACCGTTCTTGCGAATAGCAAACTTATTCTTGTTGTTGTTGTTGTTGTCCTTAAATTTCTTCCTACGATGCTAAAATCTTCTTCTTCTTTCTTTTTTATTATCACATTATTCCTTATTATATTCGATTTACCGCGACAACTGATTTCACGCGGTTCCCGATACTCGTAACTATGACAACAACAAGATCTCAATGAGTTACAGTTATCAGAAGAAGGCATGGAGTTGTTACAATGAACACGATGATCTAAAGATCTCGAATAACGTGACGACATCGATTACGTTAGCTAACAGAGTGTACAATTCCCAAGTTTACTCTGTTGTGTTTGTATTATTATTATTCCTAGGCAGCTTTTATTCCTTTTTCTGTTCTTGTTGTTGTTGAACTGGTGGTCAAGGGAGATCCTTTGAAAGGTTCGATGCACCCGATATCAAAAAGAATACCCCAGCAGTGTGGTAGATGACAAAAGAGAGAGAGAGAGAGAGAGAGAGAGAGAGAGATAGAGAGGTGTAGGGTGACTGAAGGTACAAGGAGTAGGAAGGGAAAGGAAGGGAATAGGGAGGAAGGAAGGAAGGAAGGAAGGAAGGATAATGTCCTGGAGTCGAGGACGATAAACCAACACGACGTACGGGCTGATGACGACGTTGATGACGTGGAGGGTTGTTTTCGAAGAGGGGAGAAAAAAAAGAGAGACGAGAAGAAAAATACGGGTGCTCGGTTAGTAGATGAAAGAGTCGATGATAGGTCGGTCAGTGGGTCTCGTTCAAAGAACGACACGTTGATTCACCCACCAATAGCAACGCGTAATCGTCTTCGTCGTTTTCTTCGTCGTCGTCTTCTTAATTTTCGTCGTTTTCGTTTTCTTCGTTTTCTTCGTCGTGTTGTTGTCGTCAATGTGTACGGGCAACAACAAAACGAACCGGATTGTTTTTCCTTAGAATAATGCGTGCGATAGAAAGAGAAATATGATGAAGTTTGTAATCCTACGATTATTCGATCGAACGAAAAAAGTAAGGAAGGTACGAGGGACGCCACGGTAGAATCGCGTACGCGGGTCGATAGGTCAGTGGGTCTCGTTCAAACCGTCGACTAGCTTTGTCTCTCTCTCTCTCTCCCTCTCTCTCCCACTCCCTACGATTCTTCCTCGCGAAAATGATTCCGCACCAACACGATCTGTATAAGATCGATCACCACCACCGATCCTTTTCCCCATTCACTACATTATCATCATCATCATTATCATCATCGTCATCATCATCATCCTTACTATTATTATCACCAAGACACCCCAAATATATATATATGTATATTATTATTATTTTTATAACCAATGTGACAAGCTATAGTTGTAAACTCGCGAATAGCAAAAGGCGGCACGTCTCCGAGACGGCCAGGAGACGTCCTCGCGAAGAAACCTTCCCACGATTGCCCACCACCACCACCACCTCCTTCGGCAGCCCGAAGAAGGGAGCAGCACCCTTTTCGAGCGAACTCTTCTTCCTCCTCTTCCTATCCTTCTCGTCCTTGATCATTTCTCGCGCGCGGACGCGAACACACTTCCACCCTCTTCCTCCTCCTATTCGCTCCTCCTTTTTCTTCTTCTTCTTCTTCTTGACAATATTCCTTCTTATCTCTCTTTCTTTCTTTCTCTCTCTCTTTCTTTTCCCTTTCCCTCCCACCCTTATTTCTCGCTCAAAGAGAAACACACCCTCGTTTCACACACGCTAGTGGTAGCCGGGGTCCGTTGGTATTCTCTTTTTTTCCTTTTATTGTTTTTCCATGTTTTATTGTTTTTCCTTTTTTTCTTCGCACCAATCACCTCGTGAAAGTTGACGTCATCCTCGTCATGGTCGACGACGCAGCAGCACCACTACCACCTCCTCCACCACCACCACTAGCACCATACCCTGCCTGAACGTTACCGTGTGACGGATCTTTGTCGTCGTTGTTCCTCCTCCTTCTTCTTCTCCTCCTTACCCTCCTCCTCTTTCTCTTCGTTACCACCGTCAACGTCGTCGCGACGCACCACCGCTCCAGCTTCGAGCTCCTTCCCTTTTTTCTTTTTCTTTTTTCTTTAGTCTTTCGTCTTACTCCAAACTATTTCCCTACCACCCACCACCGTTTTTTCGATTGTGTGTTAACCTTTTCTTTTTCCACAACCCTCTTTTCCCCCAAACCCAACCCCCCGGGTTTTGTTCTCTTCAATTACGTGACGCACGAACTTGAAACGCGCGATTTTGATTAAATAAAACAACCCCCTCGACGATGAGGGAGAAACACACACCGTCGTTTTTTGGGCGCCCGAACGGTTGCGCTTTAATTTCGGGGGCGCTATTTTATGTGTGCGCTGTGTTCTCACTCCTCTATCTACACTCAGGGAGAACCAAGTGGCTCGAGCTTGTACAAACTAACACCAGATGGTGCATCGATCGATATTATTTAATTCCACGTTTGACCGCTTTTTTCTTCATTGGCGCTGTTATCTTCAACCCTCTTCTAAATTGTTCACGCACCCTTCTAACGCACACCTTTTATATCTGCTGCTTTTTTTTTTTACTTTCTATTCCGTCAGTCTGCCTATACCTGCTTCCTTGTATGTCTGACTTTCTGTCTGCCTGCCTAACCTACTTGTCTGCTTACTTGCCAGTCTATAACCTTTCCTTTACTACTTTTATTCATTCTTTTAGCTTTTCTACTTAATTTTCTTCATTTACAAGGGTGGTTACTTTTACCCGGCAATTTTAAAATTATTTATACTCGTTTGTAGTATCATTGATTTATTTTTGTTTTTATATCAAAACAAAGTACAAAATGTAACAACGTAAGTATTTGGTTTCGTAAACAAAATTCTAAACAAATTTAATAATTGATAACACGTGAACTATATTTTTTGGCTTTCGTATTTCGTGCTTAGAAATAAATTCATTGAAAAAAAAAAAAAAATGTTAAAAATAAAAAACAAAAACCTTTACAAACGTGTTTTATCGATTGCCATTCCATATCTCTCATATTAACGGAAAGTTTTCAAAGGTGCGGCTCGTTTCCTTTCTAGCAAATCTTTTTAACCGCATTTCGGACAGTTACCATCAACTAACGGAACATAAATTTCCTTCGAAATATCGAATTTGTCGAGAGTCAGAAGGTAACTCGAGTCAGCGTTAGAGTTGGCTGAGTGGGTTGGTTTGGATTTGGGTTTGGGTTTGGTTGGGGTGATGAATCGTAGAAAAGCGCAAGCGCACAAAGGACTCCCTTTTCTACCCTACCCTTCTCTTTTATACCATCTCTCTCTCTTTCTCATACCTTCGATCCGTGGCATGTTAGGAACGCGCACTTGTTCGACCCCAAACGAACGAAAGAAACCCAAACGCATTCGCACTTGCCGGTCTCTCTTACGATTTCTAAAGCACACCTGTCCATTTTTATTTCTTCGATTATCCATTGTAATATTGCACCTTGCTTGCATCATCATTTTTTGTTTCTATTCAAAAATAAAAACAAATAAAACCGGTTCATATATTCTTAACAAATTTTATCTTTTAATTAAAATTTATTGAAGATTAAGTGTTGTATATAACACCATTATACCTTGGTACATAATACCATTGATGATACATTTTTAAATTTGATCTTCAAGGCCACGTAATGTAGTAAAAATCAAATGGTTTGAATGACAAGTCAAGTAAAAAAGGGCTTGACACACACTGAACGTGTTAAAAATATATAAATATCCTATTATTCATATTTAGTTATTAAAATCAAGGTAGGATAACTTTAAAGACCCTATGATACTTTTTTAAAGAGTTTTGTAACCTTGTAGAAAATAGTATCCAATTATGAAACGATCTGTAATCGGTTTGTGAGAATTAAAGTCGATTTTACCGAGCTTCTTTCTCAAGTAAATCTGATTAAAATGTTAAAGAATAACGTGTATTTAAAGTAGACAGTTTCTAATAACAGTATAATGAAGAAAACACGAATATTATTGTTAATTTGAAAATCAATTAGTGTTTTATTAGAAATCCGGGTAATGATTGAAGTTTCTGGCTTGTGGATAAACGGTTATCGCGAAGAGAATTTTTATTTGTGACTCGTTATGTGTTCTCTTCTATTCGATACGAGCCGTTGGATTTTCAGAACGGTACTCCTAACTGTATATCCCATATGTGTTATCCGTATATATATATATATATAAACATACCTATAGATATATAAAAGTAGTTATATGTAGGTAACGTAAGTACACGTATTTCTAAGTTCTCTCGTACAGTTTTGTTGCTTATGTTTGCTTACTTTGTCGGCACTTTAACATGAGGTGGACATTACTACTACTACTAGTACTACTCGTCGTCATCAGTGAACACACACGATTCTAGGTGTAAATCTCTTATGGCAATGCTATTGATTTCTTTCTAAACTTTAACACCTTTTAAATGTCTAACTTGATGACATTGCTATTCAAGAAAATCTTAACAATTGATACATCTTCTTTCATGATTTTTTTTTGTTTTTTATAGAAATAAATTTTCATTATATTTGTTAATAACACTTGTTATTTTAGTATTTATATAAAATATTATTTATTAGTTAATATTAAAATATAAAAACTATAACATTGATTCTAATTTATTTTATTTAATTATATTCGAATATATTTTAAAATAAATTTGATTATAAAACATAAATAATGCTAGCAACACTATTATTTTATTATACACTGTTATTTCAATTATTTATAAAGATATTTAAGTATTTCAAATTTATTTTATATAAAATTTTAGTTAATATTTTGAAACATACTAACTATTACATTTTTTGATTCTATTTTATTTTATT